TAAAAATCATTTTATTACTTTGAATTATCACTATAGGTATTCATTCCATCCAAATACAACTGTTGTGAACATACTCTGTTATCTTCTTAGCCCCACGGACCCGAAATCGCGTCATTTGCAGGAAACGACGTCTAAGGAACCTTAATATTTAATAAACTATGAATATTTTATATCCATATAACGGGAAAAAACGAATTTAACTGATCTTTTTCATTTATTTAAAAAAAAAACCCACAATGCTAACAGTGAGCCTCTGAATTAGCCCAGAGCGAAAAATGCTAACCTATTACTGCACCGAAAATCACTCCTAGCTCCCTTATTACTTATCCTAGCTCCACATCCAACACATTGTTTATGATCGTAAAGACACAGAATCTAACGGTGCCCACCTCAACACTGAAAGATACAAACTCGCAAGGTTATCAACAAAAACGTACATCAAAACAAGTGGCGCTAGGTACTAACATGAGCTAGGCTTACCTTCCTCTTTGTCTGGTCTAAAATGGCATTAAAAACGATAAAAACGATGATGTAGTTAATGCATAGGTTAATATCCAATGGGGCTGTGTCCCCTTTGAAATGTTCTGATAATCTATAAGCAATAAAACTGCAATTCCGTTATCTGCTGTCCGCTCTGTGCTCCGTGCGCTTTGAAATCAAATCAAAATTTGTTTACCTCAATTATTTGGCGTTTCTGCATTGCCCGGCTCTTTCGTTCTTTCGGTTGTTTTTTGTGCTCAAATATGGAGGGGACGGCTCCGGGTTTCAGCCTCCGATGTACTTTAAATGCTTCTCCACCAACAGACTTGACGATGGCAGGATCAACATCGTATGCATCAGACGCGAAGTGGTCAGAGCACAACTTGCTCCATTTTGTCGGCTGCCAGCCAACACGATTCACTAAAATAATCCAGTTTCGGCGGATGATTTTGTCTTGGGGAAATTCATGAAAAATTCTCCCAGATCCCGCACCGTTCGTACATCCGAAAGCACAACAATAACCCATGTTTTGCGTGATTTCGCGGATATAATTCAGAGTTTTCTGCACCAGTCATGAGAGAAAAACACCGCTGACATGTGAACAGCGCACAAGACTGCTGAGTCGGGATATTTGGCCCAGAGACTGTTTGGCCACAATGACGTCACGCGCGCGGAGGCTGCTGGGAATGACATGTCAGAAATTCAGATGGCTTTGGGTCGAGTTTTGTATCAACAAAAGCTTTTTTTCGGGTGTATTATCTCGATTTAAATTAAATAAAAAATACAGGCAGTCTTAAAAACTAAATTTCTATAAAAATGTAGCATATTTAGAAGCTTTGCATTTGACCTTTAAGATGTAGACCTATACGCAGAAAACTCATTGGTGAAAAACATTCACTTTTTTAATGTGTTACAGTATGCTTAGAAAAGTTGAATATTTTAATGTAAGTTTTACATTTAGATTCCCATTTGGATGATGGTTGAATCAATATTGATTCCTAACACTGATTCAATATAAAATCAACCAAAAATGTGCATGTAGATTCCTATTTAGATGATGGTTGAATCAACATTGATTATATGTCAGTTATGGTTGAAAGTCCAACGTTTATTCAACATTAAAACAATTTGCGCTTTGTTTAATTTCAATGTCCGGGTTTCAACATGGATTCAATATTTCTGCCTAACCATATTTCAACATTGATTCACTCCTATTTTGCTATCTGGGCCAGGACTGAGTCCCCAGACTGATCCCCTGGGTTTATTTTCCCCAAATGTTCATTATCCAAAAACGAAACACAGCCGCTGAGTTTCACAGGTAATTTTAGGAGGCAATGTCCAAATGTAGATTTGAAATTACACTTAACAGTTCTGAAGATTTGTTGGTATCCTGCTGACAAAGCCAATTTGTAAGGGAAACTTCTGTGTAGCAGCAATGCAGTGGGAGTCACCGACTCAGGAAAGTACGGTGGCCCTGAAGTGCAAGACACTACAGCATTTCACAAAACACAACAGCATTTCACAAAACACCACAGCATTTCAGAAAACGCCACAGCATTTCAGAAAACACCACAGCATTTCAGAAAACACCACAGCATTTCAGAAAACACCACAGCATTTCACAAAACGCCACAGCATTTCACAAAACACAACAGCATTTCACAAAACACAACAGCATTTCAGAAACACCACAGCATTTCACATTGGACGGAAAGGGTATTCCTTTAGGGAGAACACTTCTTGTTTGTGATTGGACAGAGCCAGTCAGAGAAGCAATGCTGTGATTGGTTGTTTTTGCTGCCAGTCAAGAAATGACGCTTCGTGATTGGTCAACACCCGACAGCGAAATATGTCCCAACACATCAGCCGTTAGCACACACTCAGAGCTCACAGCTCCTCATATCTGTTCAGAAACTGGACAAAAGTTAAACATGTACAAACCACAGACTGTCTATGTCATGGTGAATACAGTCGCTGCTTTATTTATGTCTGTATGACGTTGTTGTGAGTGTGGACGGAGCAGCTACAGGTTAGTTTAGCCTGATGGATCCGATTCCATTCAAAAAACACGCATTTTAAAAGCTTTTCGCCTGCCGTCTTATCTGCAGACTTGTCAAAGCGTTAATTTATGGTTTTTTACTAACCGTTATCAGTATGTAGTTTCTTCGGCATCACTTTGAAACGTGTATTACAATTAAATCACGGTCAAATATGTTCATTTTGTTGTAGTTGGTATCTCCCATAGGATTTACATGGAGATACGCCCCGCCCCCTCTCAGCGCCTCTTGTTTGAATGACAGGAGCAAACACAGCTGACAGCCGCGGTGAAACTCGAGCGATTAGAGCGATGCAAATATTGGGTAGTCTACCATAGTATTTACATGGAGATAAGCCCCTTAAAAAACATGAATTAATAAAGCATTAATGCTGTGTTTACTCCTGTCATTCAAACAAGACGCTGGAGAGGGGGCGGGCCGTATCTCCATGTAAATCCTATCGGAATCGGATCGATCAGGCTAAACTAACCTGTATCTGCTCCGTCCACACTCACAACAACGTCATACAGACACAAATAAAGCAGCGACTGTATTCGCCATGACATAGACAGTCTGTGTTTTTTATATGTTGAACTTTTGTCCAGTTTCTGAACAGATATGAGGAGCTGTGAGCTCCGAGTGTGTGCTAACAGCTAACGGCGGACGTGTTGGGCCAATCACGAAGCGTCATTTCTTGACTGGCAGCAAAAACAACCAATCACAGCAGTGCTTCTATGGCTGGCTCTGTCCAATCACAAACAAGAAGTGTTCTCCCTAAGGAATACCCTTTCCGTCCAATGTGAAATGCTGTGGTGTTTTGTGAAATGCTGTTGTGTTTTGTGAAATGCTGTTGTGTTTTGTGAAATGCTGTGGCGTTTTGTGAAATGCTGTTGTGTTTTGTGAAATGCTGTTGTGTTTTGTGAAATGCTGTGGTGTTTTCTGAAATGCTGTGGCGTTTTGTGAAAGGCTGTGGTGTCTTGCACTTCAGGGCCACCGTAGTAAAGAGACACGGGAAGAGCTGGAGCTTTGATGTCAAACACTGATGGTTTATTTGGAGCTTCGGCCGGAGAATTCACATCACAAGTCACAGCAGCCACGATCTGACTGCACGGTAGAGTTGCCACGTCAATTCTGAAGAACTCTACCCCAGACCCATGTATTTAGCTAGTTCCGAGAGCATCATCAACATGCTGCATAACAAGATAAAATCATAACACCTCTATCAGCTGACGCCAACCGGCAGGAACATAGAATCATAACACCTCTATCAGCTGACGCCAACAGGCAGGAACAGGGAGACATAACACTGAGAGCACAGCAGCCAAGGTTACGAGGTGTGTGTGCTCAGTCAGGACAGTTTGAACTGATAAACTGGGTCAAAGTTATGGGCCAGACAGACAGACAGACAAATTGTTTATGTAATTTGTGTGTCCATAGTTTTGAGTCTGTGTGTGTGTTGAGCGCAGCGCCGTCTGCTTTTTGCAGTACAGTAACTAAAGTAGGATTAAGCATACCGGTAGTTTCTGTGGACTTGTCTGCGCGTGTGCACACTTGTGTGGCATTGTTTGGACCTAATTAAAATAGCGTCCCCCCAGTAAAAAAAATCCCCACTACACTACTGGTTTTCACTATACTAAGTAAAAAATAATTTTTGGACGGACACTATAATTTACAGTTTTTTACTATATGTTCAATCTGAATTTTCTTTAAAATAAAAAACATCTATATTGATTCTGACTTTTCTACATCCAACTCAAAGGTTTATCATTACTTTGAGATAAAAGATTATTAATTTAACCCTTTTAGAAGGGAAGATATGGTCATTTGTTCTGGGAATGTCATTTTCGAGCCTGAAAAACAGGCTCAGGGTTTAACAGGTCATATTTCCAAACGTGCAGCATTCAGTCCCACCCATTTGAATCCATGAGAAAGTTAAGCAGATACCAATAGTGACCCTATTTTCTTGCTCTACCCCAGGACATCTGAAGGTGTGCTGCAACGTCAAACTTGACTTTGTTTCAGCAAGTTCGAGTGAACAAGCCACAATATAAAAAAGAAGGCAGATCAGATACTGCATCAGTTTTGCACTAGGTCTCACTCCATTAGATTAATGTTTGGAAAATATCTTTTTATTTTCACAAGTCATTATTACTGATCTGTTATGCATTGACTTAATCAAACCCAGGTTGTGTCATTACACTTTCCCAGTTGCTAGAAATAGAAATAACTGCAGATCTCACACTTCTTTGAAAGCACTAAACATTTTTTAAATGAAATGAGTTGTGCATTTTGTGCTATGAAAATGAGATTTGTGTGAGAGCCAGAAAAACAAGTCAGATTGCAGTTTGATAATTTCCTCATGAATAAACCACATCACAAATCTCACTGAAATATAAGCATCTTTTTTTAACACATGCAACACAAAATACTATGATCCTGTAGTAAAATATAGCAGAACTAGAGTGTGGCAGGTCTCTTTCTTACCTCAATCCTTACGCGTTGATTTCTTCTTTGGTATCTTCTGAGCACGTTCTTTTAGAGTGAGGCGGTCTTTAATCCAGCCCACTTCTGAGTAAATTGTTACGTAAATCCAGGTTGACAAATTCGTTTTGTGTACTGAGTAGTTTATTGAATTTGGAAGAGTGCTGATGTAACTGAGTAACAACAATTGTCTGCCTGTCTGTCCATCCGTCAGTCATGAGTCATGAAACAGTTTCAGATTTGATCCCCCTTGTTTTTATTAAAAATCATTACAATCAAATCATTCAAGTTCAACCCCTCAGGGATTACTCAGCAGCACATTAAAATCCACCAAACATAACACAGTGTAATCACGTGACCATGCTGGCATAATTATATACATTAAGATTAAGGTCTATACAGGAAACACACAATATAATTTATAGCAGGCAAAACGCAGTGCCGTGAATTAAACTGTAGCTGACTTCATGTTTGACTATGTGCAAAAACTCATGTGACATTTGTTGATTCTTCAAGAAGCTGAACAAACAGGTTGTTGTCAAAATAAATAGGTTTGATGTGGAATATGCCAAATCTATTCAGTGATCATTGTGATGAACATATTTTTCTTAGAGTACTGCATCACCTCGATATCAACATGTAAAACCCAGAAATAAATCATAAATCATTTGGTCACGAAGTCCACCATCCAGCCTATTATATTTGTTAAAGAAGGCTAAAGAAATAAAAAGAAAGCGCTACCTCCTCGCACGCATTATGTTCTCCTCCACACTGGGAAGATCATTGGTCAATTATTGCAGGAAGAACACAGCATGTAAGAGGAAGGTCTGGGTCACCTGCATACCAGGTCAAATGATATCCGTAAAAATTATTCAACAGCATACATGACACATTTACAAGGAAATCATAATAAAAAAATAGTCCTAACCCATGGAAAATGACAACAGACCAAAAAAACAGCAGTTTGACGTTAAATGATTTGCTGATTTCTGACACCAACGCAAGAGCGAAGGTCAGGAGACTGATAAGCAAAATATTGCTTGAAAGTTAAACAAAATCTGCCTAATAAAGATATATTTTCTTTCAGATCTGGTAGTTGGCAAGTAAGGGGACAAATCAGTTAATAAGTCAGCGGTTTCTGTGAACAACATGACCACTGGCGTCATTTAAAGTTCATATTGAGTTCATTCAATCTGCTTTCAGTGAACCATAGTGAACCATAGTGTTCATATAATGTTATCATCCAACATGCTGTTCTTTTTAACAGCACGTACTAAAGAGCAGACAGGGTCAACACATCAATGTAAGGATTTACCCCAAACCATGTAAGGAGATGGGGTCACAGTGATTTTCAAAAAACTTAGATATGACAGTGTGTTGCAGATAGGGCTGAACGATTAATCGATTTTAAATCGAAATCGCGATTATAAATGATGCGATTATTAAATCGCAAAGCCCGCGATTTTTTTTAAACATTTTTTGTTCTTGTGTGTCAGTCATCCACACCAATCAGAAGTGCTGTGCTCCACATGTACCAGCCGTTGTTAACCAATCAGAAGTGGCCCATGATAGAAGGTGATAGACAGATTGATCCAATCACCTGCCAAGTATTTTTGAAAGTGCCTGCCTTTTCCAAATGGCTTCCAATGGAGCTTTCCTAGATGCTTTGGTGAAACTATCTGAGTCAGTAAGTAATGCTCCATCACATGTTTCTATTACAGGGTGAATCTTAAACTGAAGCTGGACTTTAAAGCAACTCAACGGAAGTTTCATGTAAGTTTAGTTCTTTCACTCGTAGCTCGGGGTGCTAGAGACGGGAGCATGTTGATGCGACCTTCCTAGCTGGAGATATGGCCGCATTTTACAATAAACTTCCTTTGGGTCGCTTAAAAACAAATATCGCAAATCGAATCGCAATATTTGTCAGAAAAATCGCAATTAGATTTTTTCCCCAAAATCGTGCAGCCCTAGTTGCAGAGAACAGATATTCAAATGCGCCATGGCAAGGCACCCTATATGTATACACTGTAGTTTCAATCGTCCTTTCATAATGCAGTAGCTTACAACTCTTAGAACTGTGAACGCTGACAGCAGACCAGGTAATCGCTCAGCCAGTTTAACACCCTGGCTCACTCTAACTGGTTGCTAATATAAAACTATGTGCTGCCACGGTGCTGCTGGGACACTGATGACGTACGAAGTTAGACATTCTGGTGGATTGTTTTTTAAAATGTCTAACCCAATGAATAATTGTACCGTGGCCTAGTTTTTGAATGAATACAGTGCTTGCAAAGACAGTGTCTTTTATAGCGATTTCACAGTGAATTTTAGAAAGCTGTCATTTCATGTGGAGACTGTCACCGGCATTGACCTGTAGGGTCTTATTAAGTGCCCCTTGTTCCCTCACAAAGGTTTTAATCACACTACATGACCTTCAAGGACAGAGCTATGCAAGCAGAGCTCAGGCACGCCCTGTTCCACACTGAATGGGTGTTTTCTTTTTTACATGCTGTCAAGACAAGAAAGATGTGCGTTGTGAAATCAGAGTAACATCTTGAAAACATCTGCACATGTAGTGTCACTAATGGCTTAGTTTTGTATTGTAAATGTGTCTTTCATATGTTTTACCCCTAATCTAGTGATATCTGTGATTGCTTTAGGCCAAACTATAACAATTATTTTTCTACAGTTTAGCAGATTATGCTTTCCTTTGCAACGAAGATGTAAATATATGGTATTTACTTTCTCACCACTCAATAGCCTCACTTTGAGACTTCCGGTGTATAGAGAAGAGGGTTCCCACTAGGGATGCATACCGGTATCCGGTATTACCGAAATACCGGTTAATGGTGGCTACGGTATACCGTACCGAAATCAGATCCGGTTTCGATACTTATAAAAAAAAAATATATATTTTTAAAAGTGAGTCCGTGGCCCGTGATGGCAGGTGTTATAAATTAGATTGCATAATCGTTTTTCTTCATATTTTATGTATTTTTCATTGTTTGTTTAATACTAGAAAGGTAAAAGTCCCACAAATGAACTGTGATGGGATTTGTTTTCTCTCACCAGTGAAGGCAAATGTTGATTTTAAAGATGAGATTTGTTTGTTTGTGCAATGCCGAGATCTCATGACCATTATTCTATTATGTATTTGTTCTCTAGTCGAATCTCAGGTTTAACATTAATTATAACGGTGCTATAACGGTCTGTTTGCATTGACAAGATGTGCTATTCACGCGGCACACCTGATGGCGGGTATAAAAGATATTCCATAATCTGTTTTCTTCATATTTTGTATGTATTTTTCATTGTTTGTTCAGTACTAAAAGGTCCAAGAAGTCCCACAATTGAATTTAATATTCATTTGACGTATCTATATCGTAAAGCGCTTCATGGGAGTAATTGTGGGATGATACATTTTCAAAGTATCACGATATGTATAGGTCTCGTTCAGTGGTATCGTAAAAAAGGCAACAATATGCATCCCTAGTTCCCTCACACTTACTTTGAATAATGTGTTGGAAAATTATGACATTTTTACCTTTACAGATCAGGAAAATGTTTTTTTTTGTTATCAAACAATAAACGGCTACCTCTAAAATGTTATCATTTTTGATTGATCAAAATAATGATTTTGCGAGAAATCCCAAGCCACATTTACATTTGTAATATTACCATATACTCCGTGAAACGTAATCATGTAATAATGTGAATGTGTATCATATGGTAATTTGATCCAGCAGAGTTGATTAGTAAACAGCAATACGTGATATGCTTTGGATGAGGTTAGTGATACAAGGAAACTTTCACAGGAATAAGAGTGTGAGTCAATCAGTAAACTGGTGAGATTAAAGTGATCCTATCAGATGTCATATAAAAGGGGAAATCAAAGTTTAGTTGGCTTTGTGGCAAAGTTGAGCTTGGCTGGAGGTGAACAAGATCATTAACTGTAAACTGCTGAGAAAGAGGTGAGGGCAGAGGGCCTTACATTGGAGCGATAACAGTAGGGGTTTTACGCCCTTTTGCACACTGTGAAATATATGTGAACAAAACCGTTTTTTTATTATTTACAGTTTGTGTGCAGATTGAAAACTGCTGTGGCTCAGTGACAGGGCTCATTAGTTAGGATACTTCCCCACTCATCATTTACTTGTATATTGCAGTTTTGAATCCATTTTGATTTCTCATTGCTGTTTGCTTCTGTCTTAACTTAAAGGAAGATATATATATAAAAAGTATATTGCCATTCTTTTTCCAAAGCAGGGATTCATATTATTGTTGAACCTCTTTTCTGTGGCGTTCTTTATTGGGTATATCTTAAGTCAGATCGGCAAAGGGAAACCTCAGATTTAGATTAAAACTCCCTTCGAAACAAAAGTACATAATTTCCACTGAATCAGGCCAATTAAGGGGAGAAAGGCGGCCTCAGGTGGTCATCTGGACTCATCCGTCTCTCTTGCTTTTCTGGTTTAAAATCCTGTACTTCCCATTACAGGCATTGCAACCTGAAAAGGGATGGCTGACAATGAGCTTCTGAAGTGTTAGATAACAGCAGAACAAAGGTGTGTTTGATAGCACGCTTCTCTTGTCAAGACAATTTCTCTTATGCATCAGTCTGAAAAAGACAAAAAGTGTGCAGGTGCTCTGGCAATGAAGAATCAAACCACCATGTCTCCTCCTTCAATCCTTAGCATTAGGCCAACTGTCCCAGCAGGCCTTGCAGGGTTTGAGGTGAGAGCCACAGCATCTCTATAAGGTTGTACTGGACATATCCCATCCAGAAGCCGAACATCACGTCAGTCACATTGTGCCTGCCTAGCAACACCCGGCTCAGGCCCACTAGGGCGGCCCACAGCACGACGAGGAACCTCAGAGGGGCGGCCAGCACCAGGTGAGCCAGCAGGAAGCGCCCACACATGGCGGCGCGCGTGGCATGGCCTGATGGGAAGGAGAATCGGTCCACGGAAAAGGTGGCAAACATGTCCATGCGGTTATGGGCTGGTCGACGCCGGCGCACCACTGCCTTAACGATGGTGACCAGCACCAGATCCAACAATAGGCCTGCAGGGGGGGGAGGGAAGAGTGTGTTATAGCAACTGAGGAAACAGCAATGTAGTCACAATAACACAAAAGCATTGGCAAACAGATATTAGACACTTTAATTCAATATAAAGAGAGGATATACTTGAACCCCAATGACAGCTGGTATCTTTCTTTCCTTGTTATGTTGTTGTGATGCAGGTCTATTTATTTTTTAAAGCACTAAGGAAACACTAAATAATGTGGTTTCTTTTATTGGGATAATATATACAAATATTAGAACCAGGCTATAAAGTATTTTGGGTGCTTTGGGTGGTGAAAAACTGCAGCTTATATTAAGAAAAGCAACCCTTCCCTTGGCATAAGGAACCTATTTAAAAAGGGATTTTTATTAGCATTTGCTTTATATTCATCACGTCTGCAGTGCTGAACTATTAATGCAGGTGGAAATGAGCCAATTGCAGCTGGGAGTCCAATGAGAGGATTTCAGAAAATGAATATGCAAGAGTATCATTTATTATTGATAACTACTCAATGAGCAAATAACTGCAGTTGTAAGAAGCTGTGTTTTATAATTAGAGAGGGCAGCTGGCTCAGGCACTGAACTGCAGCATGCTGTTTCCTTTACAAGTCAACACTTAGATTTGAGAGTATTTTGGCCATGCCAGAATCCTGAAGAGACCCCCTCTTTTCAGACATTTAATTATCTCAAAGTGGTCCTTTCTTTACACTGACCCGATTTTAATGCACAAGCATGCCAATTAATAGCTCTTAAAACGGCCTTCTGGTTCAGACTGGTCTATTTTAATGCAGTTACAAACGGTCTTTGTAACAAATCAAAGGCTTTTACTTACTAACATTATGCATTCAGGAGGTTGGCTGGTATATGATATATGACAACTGAAGGATGCTTATAGGCAAAACAAATTACATATCCAGTACTCTCAACATTAAATGTACCCTTAAACCACTCCTCCCTACTGCAGCTGTATATCCTTGAAACTCTGAGGCAAATCCCCTCCAGAAGAGCTCATATACTACATGGGCAAACATGACATTTAAATCCTTTTAACATAAAGCTTTTCAAGATTTCATAATAGACGCAACAAAAGACTGTCAATATTTCAGTCCCTAACAGCACATTTCTGACTATTTGTCAACAGTACGAATCACTAAATAGGTCAGAAAATTGTTTTAAAAAATTTATCACAATTCGCTAGAGCCCAAAGTTGTGTTTTCAAATTAATCGTTTTGATCAATTAAAGCTACATAAAATAAAGAAAATCAGAAAAACCTATGAGATTTCTGTTTTTATAAAAAACATTAAGATCATTCATAAAGTTTATATAAAGCCAAACCAAAAATATGATGCAACAAGTAGTTATTAAGGAGGAGGAGCAGCAAAGGTGGATTAAAGTCAAAGTGAACAACTCATCTACAGGTGGGAGCCTGCAGGCTCTGATGGGGGAGATACATCGAGGGAGAAAAATAACAAATACCAAAGTGACACGTTGGAGATGGGATCACGTGAGAACAATTTGTGCATGGCAGATGATAAAGAGTTTCAGAGTTGCCTCTTCCTGCCTCATAATAACTGAAGCAGTCATTAGTAATCCAACACGAGCATAAACAACATGCATTCACCTGCACAATACACAAATGAATATCCAGTTCATTGTTATTGTGGGCTCGTGTTACCACAAAAAACAACCAGACATCTGAAAAGGGAGACAAAGAGTATCTTCCAAGAACAATGGGAACATCTTGATATACAAAGTGGATGCACTCGTTTTAGTGAAATTAATTCAAATGAGGAAGTCCTAAAAGCTGCATCACCGTTGATAAATCAATCTACATGCATACCAACATGAGCTTCAATACAAGTCCCTTACAACTCCTCTTCCACACACACACACACACACACACACACACACACACACACACACACACACACACACACACACACACACACACACACACACACACACACACACACACACACACACACACACACACACACACACACACACACACACACACACACACACACACACACACACACACACACACACACACACACACACACACACACACACACACACCACACACACACACACACACACACACACACACACACACAAGATAGCTTTTCTAAAAATCTTGAAACTGACCTCATCCCTGATTGTATTAATTACCCTCCTGTGGTTTTACAAAGTGTCAGTCAAAGAGCCTCAGGAAAAAGAGGTAGGTTGAGACCATAGTAAACAGCAGATATATGCTACATGTGAGAACCTGTAAAAAGGTAAACTAGGTCAGACAAATATTATTAAAAATAGTCATGGGAGGTGTTTTTATAAACGACAGGGAAAAATAAGGGAGGAGCTGTGTGTGTGTCAAGAACTGCACTTCAGCCTAGCTCAGTGGTACCTAGAAACCTGGATCTTTCTGTGCGTTAATCCCCTACTGAGAGACACAGATTGACAATATATGGAGGCACATGAATACAAAAAGTGTTTTACCCATGAAAAGGTTGAGCATGACTTCTTGTCCTGTTGCACTGTCACTCTTGTACAGACAGTAGGCGGTACCGGCCAGCCAGGGGATGCCATGTCCGGATATCTCTATGAGCTTCATTAAGGGGCGCACACTGCCCCAAGACGAATCCTCGCAGGCACACACCCCCATCGTCTTGGACATCCACAGGTCGATGGCGAGCAGGGAGCTGAGCGCTACGCGGATGAAAGAGGGGTTCAGCCGCAAGCCGTCCTCTTCTGGCAGCCCCTGTCCGCTGCCGGTGGAGGAGCTGGAGCCCCGGCGCCGAGTGGGGCTCTCCGAGGCTCTGAGGCGGGCGGTGGCGGGGTCGGAGCCCTGCCTCTGGTGCGGCGGAGAGGACCGGTTCAGCGGCTTCGTCAGAGACATGAAGTCGTAGCGGCCGTTGGAGCTGCCGAGCACCGGGCTTCCGCCGCCGCGAACCGGGTTTTTAGATTTAGGAGAAGGCATGTTATCTGTTTTAAAGCCGATGTACAGTAAGGTGGGGTGTTGCTGGTCCTCTGTGGCAAATTGTCTGCAGTGCTATGCGGGGTTTTCGCTCCTTTTGGTCATCTGTTGTGCGGCTCAACATTCAAAGCACGTCCTATAACTCTGAGCCGAATCGCCATCTTTGATGTTGTAATCGCAAAGACACCTGGGAAATTGTGTTTTCCAGTGTGGTTACCCCTTTTTGTCAAGCGAAATACACCATTAGTTATAAGTGAATTCCTATTCATCTTGTTTTGATTGTGGTGCCATATACAATGCAGCTTTATTTGTAAAGCACTTTATAACCTCCAGACCAAAGTGCTGTAGGCCTACAGAGAAATAAATAAATAAAATAGAAAAACCACACAGCTCAGCTCACAAACCCTAAAATGAGAAAAATACAAATAAAGGGGGGATGTAAATAATATCAGCCATATATATAATGATAAGTAATAAGTTCTTGCTAGAAGTGCAGGCAACTTGTTTTGGAGTCGTTTTTTAGGAATGTGCACACAACCGGTTTTAAGGTATACTGAACATTGAATTCACATTGAAGAGAAACAAATAAAATGCAAATATTACATTGGAGACGTTTAGTTTTCGTTTCTGTATGAAACACCCCTTATTCCTAGATTGTACCTTGGTGGAAAGATCTCCTTGATTGATCTGGTAATAATTTAAATATCAAAGTTTGAGAGGATAATGGTCGAATTATTTCATGATTTGCATACAGTCAGAAAACGTAATGAAAAGACTAAGACCAACAACCGCCTCTCAATACTGACTTTTCCCTATATGCCCCATTTATTCTACCAGAGGTTGTAGCTTAAATGAATAAAAAAAGGTCAAACTGTTTTAGGTTAACATTTTAAAGGCTCAGCAACTTTCTTAAACAACTGCAGGGCGTAGTCTTTATCTGAGCAGGTTGGGTGGCAGCCCTTTCAAATTATTGTCCCAGGCGTACAGCCACATTTTTAGTTGTGCTGACAACGTTACCTTGGTGGGAATCCCTGATCAGGTTTGTACGGTATGTTGATGACTTCTTTAATGCTTTAAGTCTGTAAAGTTTGTGATATATTCGGTCCGGCAGTGCATGGCTCTGGGAGCCGTAGGGTCGCTGGTTCAAGTCCCCGAACATGTAGTCTGACTGCTACTTGGAGAGGACCCAGTTCACCTGCTGGGCCCTGCCGTGGTGCCCTTAAGCAGGACACCCCCCCAGCTCCCCCACTGCTTCTACTACTAGGATGGGTTAAATGCAGAGGTCAAATGTCACTGTGTGTGCTGTGTGCATGTATGTGTGACCATTAAAGAGGGTTTCATCCCTCCGATTCTATCTATCTAGTAAGACAATTAACCTTTTGAATGTTTCCATGAACATTGCTGCATTTTCCATCAATTATTTGTTTCTATTCATCATGCGAGGGCATGTTGTGGAGTCGGTGACAGATGATGAAGCTCTCGAAACCGGGTCATGTGATCATTCAACTATCATTCAACGATCAGATATTATGAAGTAGAGATCTAACTACAATTCCCCTAAAAACAAATACATCACATTTTACAATAACTGAAAGTGTTGTGATACTTAAATAGAAAATAATATCAGTTTTACTAGGTGACTTTCATCCAACAGTCACTTCTTGCTCCTCTCACAAGAGAATATCATGTATTTGGTATTATTAACAAAAAGGGCATTCAAATTGGCAAAACTCCTGGCAAAGTTTTGAATCCATACATCCAAATAAAGGAACAATAATCTCCACAAAAACCTTGTGTGCAATCATGTCAATGCCCTATTATGAATTGAAAGAAAACATGTAGTCTCTTCTCAGAACATATGAATACTCAAATATATGATGAGCAACTATGGAAGAGAGCAGAGTTGTTACATGCTTTATTTATTTTCATTTTATTTGTATCCTACCTATTATCTATCTATGCAATTAAATAATGATATATGTAATACATTTACATCACATTTTATAGTTGTACTTTGAATTGTGACCTGTGTACTGTACTAAGCACTTTGTACATCCGTGTTGAGAAGGATGATATATAAATAAAGTTGTACTTACTTACTTACTTACTTACTTACTTAATGAAAGTTATTTTGTATCGGATCTGTCTGTATTTTTTATTCATTGATGTTTGTAAATGTTAATCATCATCATCAGCTTTATTTAAAGAGACTCTTGGTCCATACAACAAAAGACATACAACACTCAAATATGAAACATTTTCCAAAAAAAAGGAATCATTACGTCTCTGTCTCTGATTGGTCGAGGATCTGCGTATCAGCCGTTGATCACGCCCCTATCCGGATCGGGTCCATTCATGAGTCGCAGGCACGTTGTCTCTCGTCTTTTTTTCCGTGTTTGAGCTGCAAAGAAGAGACTATCATGCCCGGACTTCTGCTCGGAGACGTGTTCCCAAACTTTGAGGCCGACACCACCATCGGCAGAATCAAGTTCCACGATTTCCTGGGCAGCTCGTGAGTGCGCATGCTCCCCGTACAGCCATTACACTGCAACTAATGTTTAAGTCGGTGTTTTGAGTTATGTTTGCACCATGTAATGCCATGGGAGCTGGTTATATGTGTGGCTGTTTTCAGAGAAGCTTTACGCACATCTGAGTCAGGATATTTATTGATATTTAAAAGCTAAAGTGAATTTTTTTTAAATAAAGGTCTGACCTATGGGCCTGACACAAAAGTCTACAGATCACTTTACTGATGATCCCCCTGTGACTGCCATGCGACACCTGACACATACGGGGTTACTTACATAAGCATGACTGGAGGATTGGAGCATAATACACCAGAAATGTAATGAAACGGGGTCAGTGTATGTTTTGGTCATTGGATTTTCTTTTCACAAATGGATATTCAAAAACAAAAAACGACTGGATATTTGATTTTCGTTTTCAAATTGAAAAACCAAAATTGAAATACAAGGCGTTTTTCTTTATCATGGTCAAAAATGGATTTACTAAACTTAAAAAACGGGATGATTTTCATTTTTTACTTCTCAAAACAAGAAATAAAATCACTAGAAAACAGAAACAAAAAAAAACCCCGTTTTTTCATATCCTGCTACCGGAAGTTGTCTTTCAAAATAAGAGCGCAGATGAGGACGGCCAATCCGTGTATCTACGGTCCATTTGTTTTCACAACGAAAACAGCCAAGACACATATTGAGCCCAGATAATGAATGTTATTGAGGGCTGGAATTTGAAATATAATAGGCCTGTGTCTAAAATGGACAACATTGTTAGGAGATTTCAACTATACAGCTGTTAGTTGTGTGTGTGTGTGTGTGTGTGTGTACACACACACACACACACACACACACACACACACACACACACACACACACACACACACACACACACACACACACACACACACACACACACACACACACACACACACACACACACACTTTTTGAATTCATATAGAGTTGTTTTTTTAATTTCTTCTGAATTGTAGAAATCCTTGGTGTTTCAATACCCTCGTATTATATCATTGTTGCCCTGAGGCAACAAACCAACCCCTGGTTGAGGGGTGTGGGGGGGGGGTCACATTTTATAATTGATATAATATCATTGACCCCTAAGCTCCTAAAACACATGGTGAAACATTGTTTTTCCTCCCAAAATAAAAAGTCATTCCATAGAGGGATAAGGCACTATTACAAATATTCTTAATTTGCCGTATTTTATTTTAAAAGTATTCAGAAAGACTGCATCAAATATGCTATATCCATATATCTATATAATATCAATATTGTTATTAACTTCAATCAAAGTCAATTTAAATAGCGGGCAAGACTTTCCAAGGGGTAAAAATACTGCTGCCGGACTACTGACTGGAAGTATTGCTGATATCATGTCTACCATCCTCTTAAAATACTCTGTCCAACAATGAAGAAAGTTGTTTTAACGCTGATTCAAAATAGCAGAGAAACATGTATTCTTGTTCTCAGGACATTGACAGAGGATTACTCAAAAAGTACACAGTAAGTAGGCCTACTTCATAGTAGGCTACTTGTTGTGGGAGTAGTTTCACTAGTAGGCTACTGAGTCCAACAGGATCGATCTCATTCACGAGTAACTATTGGCAGAAAAAATAATAACAAACTCGAGAGACGGCTGAGTGACCGCAGTGCAGAATCGCTGTATAGTTGAAATCTCCTAACAATGTTGTCCATTTTAGACACAGGCCTATTATATTTCCAGCCCTCAATAACATTCATTATCTGGGCTCAATATGTGTCTTGGCTGTTTTCGTTGTGAAAACAAATGGACCGTAGATACACGGATTGGCCGTCCTCATCTGCGCTCTTATTTTGAAAGACAACTTCCGGTAGCAGAATATGAAAAAACGGGGTTTTTTTTTGTTTCTGTTTTCTAGTGATTTTTTGTTTTGTTTTGAGAAGTAGAAAATGAAAATCATCCCGTTTTTTAAGTTTAGTAAATCCATTTTTGACCATGATAAAGAAAAACGCCTTGTATTTCAATTTTGGTTTTTCAATTTGAAAACGAAAATCAAATCAATGACCAAAACATACACTGACCTGAAACACACACCATTTATTTTGTGTTAAAAATGGGTGAAAGCAACATGGAGCTGTCCTAACTTTGTACAAAAGAGAGTAGCAGACATATGTGTGGTTCTCATTCATTTTCTCTGGCCAATTCATTAGTTGCACGTAAGCAAAGAACAGACAACGCCTGTATTGTGTGAATTTGGAACTGTGCCTCAGAGCTTGCATAACCTTTAGTTCTCACCCTTGTTAAGCTGTAGGCTGCTTTGTAAAACCCGGGGGAATAAATACTATAGCATGCAGTTACAACCATACCAACACGCAGCCTGGCATAATGCTCCAACAATTTAATGCAGTGAGAATTATTTGTACATAGAAAGATGTATCGAGTCTAATGTAGTGTGTTGAACTGTGCAAACAATTGATTAAAAAAGCTCTTCACAATACTTTAATTAAGTAATTTGATGGTGCATCTTTCATTTACTTTTGATTTGAAGATACAAATTCAAGATTTCTACCCTGTAATTTCCTCGTCCCGACCACAGTGCAAATAGAGGGGTATATTTGCCATGGTGTACTTTGCTCTAATTTAATAACACTGCTGCAACTACACACTTGTCAATATAAGGAAAACACCAAGGTACAGTAACTAATAACTTGCTTGTTTACTAAGTGCGATTATATGTTAAACTCTGAGAGGCTACCATCTGTTGAAAATGTGACATAGTTTACGATCCATTGTGTTTTTCAGCAGTGGTTGGTTGAGTTTTTTTTAGCCTTTTTCAGCCAATTGACCCTTTGAAACAATTCCAAAGGATAAAGGATACACTTTTTAAAAACACTTTCAAATCCTATAAGAAAGGAGGAATAAAAGAGCCGATCTGTGTGTGCACGTATAGCTCATGTTTATTGATTTAGTTTAGGTGTTTAACTTCTTGCCAGTGCTTACATCATCAGCTTCTAAACATATTCCTCTTAGAAACATTCATTATCCATGGTTTGTTCTGCTTCGCCAGATCTTTTCAAGTCTTCTGGTCACCCCAAATCATGTGACCACCATGCCTGTGAGGAGCAGCTCTTTTGTGTTGCTTCTCAACATGTGATAGCACAATACAATGCATTGAAAAGGAGGTCCACATTAACCATGTGAGGCAGACAACTCATGCCAATGAAGCCAATGGTGAATTTATCCCTTAAAAAGTTTTCCAAGTGGTGTTTATTTTACTGTTAAGCTATAGTACATGTCCCTTGAGAAAACATCTGGATTGAATATTTCAAGCTTGTATCTGCCAAATCCTCCTACACCTGTGGATTCAATCTGTGGCTAGAATGTCCTGTACCAAGACATAATGTTCTGTCTTTTCTCCAATTTCATCCTATTCTGTCTCTCTATCCCACTATAGCTTGTGCTATTAGTCCTATCACTGTTTTTGCCCCTTCTCAAATTCAAGCCGTAAGTGTTCTTAATAGGCAGTCCATGCCTAAGACAGAATATATAGTCTATGTAATGTGTATAAAATGCTCAGAGATATTGAACAAAATACTGTTTGAACTCTGTGCAGGTTTGACCTTTGGTTTATTTAATTTAGTGTGGTTACATAAACTCTGAGCCTTATGATAGAATAGAATTGGGAGGGATGAAACCCTCTTTATGGTCATACATGCACACACAGTGAAATGTGTTCTCTGCATTTAACCCATCCTAGTACCAGGAGTCTAGTACTAGGAGCAGTGGGCAGTACAGCGCCCGGGGAGGAATGGGAGTGAGGGGGGAAGGGGGGTGTCCGGTGCCTTGCTCAAGGGCGCCACGGCAGGGCAGGAGGTGAACTGGACCTCTCCAAGTAGCAGTCCATACTCCATATTTTAGGTCTGGTCGGGGACTTGAACCGGTGACCCTACAGCTCCCAGTCCAAGCCCCTACTGACTGAGCCACTGCCGGACAGAGGGGGAGATTGGATGTCAAATCATATCAAATCAAGTTTTATTTATATAGCACATTTATAAACGATTTTTGGTCGAGCCAAAGTGCTGTACATATAATAAAAATAGCCTACAGTAGAGACATTTTACAGCAAATACAACAGCACAGATTTTTCAGAATATCAGTATGAGAAAAACGACACCCTCTATCCTTAGACCCTCACATCGTACAAGGAAAAACTTCCAGAGAAAACCCACAGTTTAAGGGGAAAAAATGGGAGAAACCTCAGGGAGAGCAACAGAGGAGGGATCCCTCACCCAGGACGGACAGACGTGCAATAGATGCCGTGTGTAAATCGAAGAGATAATACATTTTACAGCATATAGACCGAATGTTAGGAAATGCATGTGTCTGTAATAAGAAGATGAATCCACAAGGATGTCAGCTACAATCCTGTGGAAGCCATCAGGGAAGCAGCATGACGAGACCCAAGGCAGGACCGCAGAGACAGGTTCAGCCACGACCCGAAGTCCACGACTTAATCCAGAACTCAGGATAGAGGATCCAAGACACAGGACTACAGCAAGAGGATCAGCCTTGACTCCGGATCCCGGCGTAGATATAGATACAAAACAAGAAAAAAGATTTGGCTGGGTTAATCGGAACAAGAGAATATACAGACAGAGAGGGAAAAGGTCATTGGATAAAAGTTATTCTTGATAACCCTCTAGAAAGATCTCATGAACTTCCCCACTCAATCTATCAAGACCCGAGCAGTTCTATTAGATAAAGGATAAGAAACAGAGATAGGGAGCACAACAACCTATCTCTTCGTCAGATGCACTCCCCCGCTTATCTAAGCGACTCTTTACCCCGTTACCCTCTACAAGGCCATAGACCAGCAGAGGGAAAATGGGGGGTGGGTAAGGGTTTTTAAGAATAAACCGCAAGGGTCTAAAGGGAAAAAAGATGAAATATAAGGTACTATATTTTAAGTAATCCTATCTACTATTTCTATATTCGAATAATGTATAAACTATTTTAAAAGTACTTTATGAAATCCTATGTTATGTTATAAATATTAAAATAAAGAACTAAATGAATAAATGAATAAATAAATAACTAAATAAATGAATGAATAAATAATTAAACAAAAGCCAGAGAGAAAAAGTGAGTTTTAAGTGTTGATTTAAAAACCCCCAGGGTCTGGGCCGACCTCACATGGAGGGGCAAAGTATTCCAGAGCCTAGGGCCAGCCGCTGCAAAAGCTCGATGCCCTCGGGTTTTAAGCCTGGTCTTAGGCACTATCAGCAGCAGCTGATCAGCCGACCTTAAGGCTCTGCCTGGGGTGTAGCGATGGAGGAGTTCGGCTATATAGGCAGGAGCCAGCCCATTTAGGGCTTTAAAAACAAATAAAAGGAGTTTAAAATCTATTCTGAACCGAACTGGAAGCCAGTGCAATGAAGCCAGAATTGGGGTGATATGGTCACGCTTTTTATGGCCAGTGAGAAGATGTGCATCTGCATTCTGAACTAGCTGGAGGCGTCTAATTGAGGCCTGGTCCATACCCACGTACAGCGCATTGCAGTAATCCAGTCTCGAGGTAACAAAGGCGTTAATAACCCTTTCTAGGTCTTTAAAAGATAAAAACGACTTGGTCTTAGCCAATAGTCGTATTTTGAGAAAGCAGGTCTTGACTACAGTGCTAACCTGCTTATCAAATGTAAAGGCGCTGTTGAAGGTCACTCCAAGGTTCATAACAGAGGGGAGAATATTTTTATTGAGGGAGCCCAGAATATCAACCGGGGGGGCCGTTGGTTGGGGTCCAAAAAAGATGACCTCGGTCTTGCTCTCATTAAGGGTGAGGACGTTTTGGCTCAGCCAGGATTTAATCTCTGTTAAGCAGTCCTTCAACTGCTGTAGTGAGTTGGCATTTTGATTGAGAGGCAGATACATCTGTACAACATCAGCGTAACAATGTCAATGTCCTTATTTGCTATTTTCCTAATACAGTTTTGGACATTGAGATTTCTGAACCAAAAAGATGTGTAGAAAACAGATCTAATTGGTTTATTTGTATGTCTTCTGTAGATGGGGTGTCCTGTTCTCCCACCCAAAGGACTTCACTCCTGTCTGCACCACTGAGCTCGCATGTGCTGCTAAGGTCAGCGATGAGTTCAAGAAACGAGGTGTGAAGATGATTGCTCTGTCCATTGACAGTGTTGAGGATCACCACAACTGGAGCAAGGTGGGTGATGACACACACACACACACACACACACACACACACACACACACACACACACACACACACACACACATACACACACACACACACACACTGTATACCTTATATAACTATAAGGTGGTGTGTAAGAGGGATAACTTAACAGGTTAGGTTACTGTTGATCAAGTAACCCTAAAGGTTAACGATCACATACTTTATTGTACAATAAGGACATTTGCATGTGGCTTACAAGGAGAGCAAGCAGTGATTTATGACACTGTTAAAAACAAGGTGTGTAAATGGTGAGTTTTGTCATAAATCACTGCTTGCTGTTCTGTTTTCTGAATTTACAGTTTTGACAAAAAACTAATTTGGTTTATTTTTCTTTAGATGTGTTTAAACATAATTTACAAAGCATTTTAGCTCTAAAATGTTTGAGGCTGAGTGTAGTTAGTGTGAAGGTCATGTGCTCCAGGTGTGCAGTGCATTGGTTGCATACAGTAGGTTAATTCCAAAATAAACTTCAATGATCATTCCGTTGGTTGTATGGTTCTAAGTAAACAGATAAACTTAAAATAGAGTCTGCAATTGGTCTGCAATAACATTACTTTTTATATATAAATGAACAACATTTACCACTAGTCCTAAATAGTTAAATGAAATCTGTACATGTGGCTAAAACATACAAAGAAAAACGTTTTATCTAGGTTACATTAAAGGTGGGGTAGGTAATTTGAGGAACCAGCTCGAGTGCGCTAGAATTTGAAAGTACACAACCGGAAAAAATCTGCCCCTTCCTTCAGACTTCCTTACAGAGCCCCTCCTCCAACACACACAAACGCGCACATGACCAATGAGGGCACAAGATAAGTTTGTGCACGAGATGGAAGGCTGACAGGCAGGTAGGCCATCCAGTTATTTTAGCCGGGCCGGCTCAAATGATTGGTCGTGCTTTTTACAGCGCTACGGCTTCCACAGATGACATTTTTTTAAAATGTATTTATTGTCAAAGCATTTAAGATATTCATTGCTATCGGGATGTTAAGAGCATTCCATGGAATATAACAAAAAGTGTTTCTGAAATAAATTACATACCCACAGTGTTTCCCCTACCATTGTCTTGGAGGGGCGCTGTGCCCCGCCAACGGAGCCCCGGGCCCCCCCTGAAATTCAAGCTGTTTAAAAAAATAAAAATAATTTTTTTAAATAACCAAATTGCAACTAATCTATATCTACTGTCAATTTTCACATTGAACATGTGCTCTTTTATTAAATAAACTAAACGCTTTCATTTTAAGTTGTGAGTTTAGTGTTTTTGACCCTAAAACACTGATGATGATCAATAACAATAATCCACAGCTCCTCTCTCTGCTCCAGAGGATTTAAAAAAAAAAAAAATATCCCAATGTCAACCCCTGAGTTAAAGATTAACGTTCTCTGGTCACTTATCAAACCTTTGCTGCACTGATGGCCAGGATTGTGAGAATATCCACGTAGGATCATAATATCATGATTTAGATTAGATTAGATTTAGCCTGACTGTGTTTCTGTGTCTTCAGGATGTGATGGCAGTCAGCAGTTCAACTGCAAAAACTCTGCCATTCCCCATCATCGCTGACCACAACAGAGCGCTGTCCATCGAGCTGGGCATGCTGGACCCCGATGAGAGAGACAGCGATGGGCTGCCCCTGACTGCTCGCTGCGTAAGAAACCTGTCCTCCATCTTGAATCAGTTCTGGACATGTGTTTTTATTACATACAAAAAAATTGCCAAAAGATGCAGAATCCTGTCCTGATCCAACTTTTTTGTTCTGTAAAAGGTTTTGGTCTCTTGTCTAATTTTATTGCAGCGGACAAACCTATTTTTGGATGGTGAAGCATCAGAGCTAAATGATGGCTTTGTGCAAAACAGGCTGTTGATTGACTATGAGTCACACAGTGTTTGCATCTTAACAGCTTGGGTTTAGAAATCCTCATATGGAATACAAATCGCTATCACAATAACTGTTTCTGTACTTGTAAATTGAGTGAAGGAAATATAATCAGAAAAAAATATAGTGCATTTTTTTTTATTTATAGGATTTGTTTTTGTCACCTAATTTAAAAGGAAGCATTTTCTGTCTGTAACATTGACCCTCCAGCATTTTTAACCCACTTCAGGTCTTCGTGATTGGCCCTGACAAGAAGATGAAGCTGTCCATCCTCTACCCCGCCACCACAGGAAGGAACTTTGATGAGTTGCTCCGAGCTATCGACTCTCTGCAGCTCACGGCACAGAAGAAGGTTGCCACACCTGTCGACTGGAAGGTAAATGGCTAAAATGTGTGATTCACGAGCTTGGGCTAAGAAAAAAGCTAACAGTCTCCTTGTTTAAGCTTTATACTTGGCGTACAGTCTTGAGAGTGTCATATGTATGTCACATATGCTATCTTCAATAAATTGGTTGTGGTTAAATACAGTATAGACCTAACAATCAGTCAAAGCCTTCAACACAACAGTTCAAGCCTCCAGAAAACAATCTTCAAAATGTTTGTTTAGCATACATTAAATGAATTGACCAGCCCTTAAGTGCAAAACTACAAGTGTAGGAGCAAGAGATAATTGTTATATCAAATCAAGCTTTTCTTCCAAACACAGTATAACTGCACTGTATATGTGCCCTTATTTTAACTGGGAACACTGAAGAAAATAACCAAAAGCCACATTACACAGGAGCAATATGAGGCTGCTGTGAAGACCTCCTGTAGGACTGTTATCAAAACTAGACCTTCCTCTTCAAAAACTCTTCCTTTCTCTTTCAGCTTGGTGACAAAGTCATGGTCATTCCTTCACTCTCTGATGCTGAAGCTGCTGCTCTTTTCCCAAACGGCGTGACCACTAAAGAGGTGCCTTCTGGGAAGAATTACTTGCGCTACACCCAGCCCTAAAGAAACACTAGGGACGAAAATCTTTGTATAGATTACTACTCTTTGATAAATGGAAATCATTGGATGATAACACATAAAACTGACCAATCAATAAACACACTTTTCACATATGTTCTCTGAATCTTTGAGTCTTTTCACACCACACGAGGGGGCAGTTTGGTAACATTTTCTCTGCCATAAATGACTGCCACTAGGTGTCCTTCTACAACCTTAACTCGAAATATCACCTTCCTGCTTTTGCTGCAGTACCATTTTATACCAATAGGGGGCAGTATATGCACACTGATTGACTCACTGATGGTACCCACAGACAGCAATTAGGTTGAAAGCAACAATCTGTTCTCAACAACACAGAGATGGGGAGTGGTACCACATGTCATAAAAGTACTAGTTTATTTACATTTCCGTAAATGAAAGAGGATTGGCCACATCAAGTTGATCTTCTTTCAGCAATGTTTCTCAAAGTACACAGTGAGGTTTACAAAGCGTTCTCCCCTTTCACTCTACTTTTTAAAAAATCATTTTTGCCAACTCAGCAGTACAGGCTAATGCCCTAGCTGTCTAAATGTCTTAATGTGCAATGAATTAGTCATTTAAATTGATTGTTTTGGTTCTTCTATGCTTCACGCTAAGGCTTTTTAAATGCCATTCTCCAAATGAAACTCCCCAGCTGCACAACTAAAGAGGATGCAAAGTATGGTAAATAACTACATTAGTGCATTTACTCAGTTACCATTTTCAAGTACAATTTAAGGGTACTTTTACTTCTAGTATACATTTAGATTCCCATTGCCATATTTTCAGTATTCTCTCAAGTGATGTTTACACTTTAACCATTTATGATAAGATGCACAAGTACATTTACGTAAATAACCTACTTTTTAAGGTACTTTATTTTATTATAAAGTATAATGTGTGTATATATACTGAGTTTACGGTGCTTTATAAAGCTACTCCACTTAATTTTAATGGGGAAATGTCCTTTATTCTCCACTACATTTTAGCTGAAGTTACTGGTTATTTTACACATTAAGATTCTCTATTTACATTTCCCCTCTAAAATTCTCACATCATTTAATTTGAATAACAGTTTGAGGCCTGAAACAAATAATATCTATTAATTGAAAAAGAATACATAAAAGTCAGACGTATGAACACACATGTGTGATGCATTATTTAGTTTTTTCGTCTCCCATTAATCATATTCCTGTCCCTCAGATGATCTTGGTACTCTTTGGAGGGGCCTGACCCCTTTGCTGAGACAAATACACATTGTTGTCGGTATTTAAATAATAATAATAATAATAATCCATGGGACTTTTATAGCGCTTTTCAGGAAACTCAAAGATGCTTTGACAGAGAGTTAAGAAAAATAAAGACAAGAGAAAACAAATAAAATTAAAAAATAGATAACAAAGAAATACAAAAAGAGATAAACAAAACAGAAAATAGGGGGGGAGGGGGGTGGTCAGTGGTTGAATGCAGTGTTGAACAGGTGGGTTTTGAGTGATGTTTTGAATGCTGTGAGGGAGGAAGAATCTCTGATGGATTGGGGTAGTGAGTTCCAGAGGGTGGGTGCAGCAACGGAGAAGGCTCTGTCGCCCCAGGACTTGAGGTTGGTCCGGGTGGGGAGGGACAGGAGGTTGGCAGCAGCAGAGCGGAGGGAGCGAGTGGGAGTGTGTCTGTGGAGGAGGTCAGTCAGGTAGGATGGGGCCAGGTTATGGAGGGCTTTGTATGTCATCAGGAGGATCTTGTACTGAATTCTCTGGAGGATGGGGAGCCAGTGTCATAATACCATATATAATATAACAGGACACGTATTTTTTACTTTTGATAATATCAATATATTATGCTGAGAAAAACCTTCTTTAAGTGGAAAATATGAATGCAAAACTTGTAATCGAAATGTCTTTCTATCTTGCATTGCCACTTTTTAAGTACCTGACTGCATACTCGGTCCACCGCTGAACATAAATGACTGAAGTTCTTTTATCAGCTTGCATAAATACACATTGGGATTGATTGCAAAACAATACGAGCAATAACAGAGATTGCATAACGTCAATGAGGCATTTTGTGAATAAGCGATCTTTATTTTAATTCAGCAGAGTGAATATAAAACTATAAAGCTTCACTTCAAATCTCTGTGTCGCAGTAAGCACCTCGACAGGTCGGCCTGAACTGTAGATGAGACACTGAAGCCAGGACTGAGGTGTAGGTTTCTCTTTTGTTATTCAACCCTAAAAACTGCATGGCTGAGGACAGTATTAATTACTCCAAGTTGTTTGAAGGTGAACACTGATCTAATACACACACTCACATGCACACACACATGCACATACACAAACGCACACACGCACGCTCTGGCCTTGTATTCACTCTGAGTCTGAGGAATGCTGAGGTCAAAGAGAAAAGATGGGATTCCCTTTGAGTGAGGAGGGAGGCAGAGAGTGTGCAGAGCCAGATAAAATATCTTTGGACCTCCTCCTTTTCACTCCCGTCATCCACACAATGCAAAGAGGAATGTTATTCTTCTTTTTTGTTTTTAATCAGTTGCTCACTTAACAGAAATCCCCCTATAAAGAAAGTGCTATATTGTGTTTTGAATCATTGTTTCTGTTTCTGAAACTACATTCTTCTTCACACAAACGCTGGATGCTGGTGATGAAAGTATTCATCAGGTCACCCTCCACCTCCTCTCCTCCTCCTTTTCCCTCTGGTGCCTGTTTTGTCCTCAGGAGTCGTCCCAAATAACAGCCACACCGTACTGATCAAATGCATTTCTCAAATTCCACACTACAATAGCCTGTGCCAGAGCATGAGAAGCGCTTTGGGTGTCAGACTCTGGCTTTAGTGCCCAGTACCAACCCCACTCCCCCCTCCCTTAATTCTGTTCATCTGCCACCCCTTGCTTCTCGGCTATCGAGCCAACTCACCCCATCTCACCTCGGCAACACTAGTACATGTAATACAACACCGGCCTGGGCCAAGTCTCACAGGGCAAAACACAACACACCAGCTGCTGGCCCCTCTTTCTTTCTGCCGCTCTCTATAACACACACGCACATACACTTTACACGCACACACTGCTGATCAAAGACATAAGAAGTGCTCTGAAAGGGATAGCCTCTAACCAAAATTGTCTTATCTCAGAGAAGAAAATGTTTTCCTCAGTTTCCATAGCAGTTTTCCTGGGAAGTGATAACCAGAAGAGGATCCCGACCAGCAAAACAAGCTCAATGCTTGTAGCTCCTGGAGTGTTGTAAATGTGCAAAGATTCAGTGACTTTAAGGAATATGTTTTTGGGGGAAATTAGCTTTTTTCGTATCTATCTAACAAGATTAATACCACTTATGTTTGTACACTACCTCTACAGCGTGCATCTGGTTAGTTTAGCTTAGCATAAGGACTGGAAACCGGGGGAACAGCTGTCAAAAGATGACAGAAATCAAATAAGCAAATCCCCACAGTCAAACTGTTCCTGCAAAGGTGTTGCAGACCTTTGACGTAGAGAGCGAGCAACATAAAAGCGCTGTGAACTCACACTCGGTATATATGTTGTTTCTATAGGCTACGTGTGTTTATTCATGAGCATGTGTTTGCTATGGAAGAGGTCATTATTCCCATGCTGTTTGCCAGGCAATGAAGCTGCCCGTGACCTGCGGGTTAACAAGCCAGAGACCAGAGGAGCAACAAAACACACACATGTACTCGCACATATGCAGAGCTATGGCTTGATGCTTTCCAGACGTGCTCTCTCTTTCTCTCCCTCCTACATCGCCTGGCACTCTCACCACTCTCCACATCTCCCACACACACACACACACACACACACACACACACACACACACACACACACACACACACACCACACACCACAACCCACACACACACCCACCTATTGTACCTCCCCCATTCCACTCTTCTTATCAAAGTTGTTGCTTCTTCAGCTTCCCTTTCCCATGCAGTGCACAGACAAAACACTGAAGCTCTTCTCTTTGTTTCTTCCACACTCCTGTTCCTGTTTAATTCTCTTAATGATTCCAAGTGGTTACAATCTAAAACTCCGGCAAACCTGTTGGCATTTATGTGTACCAGCTCACCAAGTACGACTAGCGTGGGCAGTAAGACAGGTGAAGATATTGAAGGTCAGGCCGAAAAAAAACAGAGACATGCGTGCTGACCTCAGGATTTGGCTGAACTTTAAGGTGCATTAACCGCCTCGCATTCGACACCCAGCCCGGAGCTTCCCTCACTTCTGTTAAAGCATGGGTCAACAAGCCTTTCAACACACACACACACACACACACACACACACACACACACACACACACACACACACACACACACACACACACACACACACACACACCTACCTGCACACAGAGGCGAGGACATAATGATAAAAGTGATGAAAGTGTATGATCCGAGTGCCTAGATAAACGCCATTGTTTGGATGGCATCTCGTAAATACAGCATCTAGACAGGCTATTACTGCAGAGCAGGTTAGGGCCAGTTAGTGCTCCAGGAACAGGCTGATGGATGAGAAGGTAAAAGTGCAATCACTCTCTGTGCTTATCTTTATCTTTCTCTATCAATATCGCTGTCTTTCTCTTGCTTTTTGCTCCCCCCGATCTCTCTATTAGAGACACATTGATCACCCGCCCCTGGCATATCACCTGAGTAATGGCTAAGGGTGTCTGGGCATTAAAACAACCCCAGTAGAGCGCCAAGAGCTTCATCACGGCGACAAGGCAAATGGCTGTTCACATTATAAAGTGTGCCTCTGTGTATGTGTATGATCATAACGCAGGGGACTTTGTCATTAAGAGGAGACGTCAAACCCAACCCAATAAGGATCCCAGACCACCAGACCTGCGACAAAGCGCAGCACCACTCAGCCACTTTAAGTCATTAATAATCTTTTCAGCGTGTGTGTGTTTTACATTCCTACAGCCACACTCTCAGTATTCTCAAGGGATATTTACACACTTCAAACCTCGAACTTACTTACTTTCTTGCTCAAAGTTAGAGAAGGTCGATACCACTCTTGTGATAAAGAGTGGGGTATCAATCTACTTATCCAGCCCTCAGCAAAACGAGATCAACT